CGTTGTACTTCGTGTTGATTTTCGTTGGTAATCTTGTCTCCCATATGTAGTTCCACCATTTTGACCACATTCTTCATGTTCATTCTATGGTGGCGGTCTGCGTTGGCTTTGAATTCCTCCGGGTTTGTAGTTGCATATACCTGGGCATGGTGAAGCTGTGCTCCAAATCGGCAGATTTGATCGCCTACGTTGTGGCCAAACGTGTGACAACATTGGCATTGTGTTTTGTTGCGATATTCAAATTTTCGTTTGGGGGCGTCTCCGACCTTGTTGATCTGTGGTGTGATTTGCAGGTGAGGGGGTTGTGGAGCATTGGGATAGTCTAACACTTTTTCAAGGAGTGAAGTGAGGGAAAGGTGATTGGGGATACGGGAGTTGTCTGCATCTGGCGTCGCTCGTTTGTAGTTGTCCAGGGCAAAAAGGAGGCAATTGCCCGCAGCATAGTTGTAGTTATCCATGGTTTTTGTGGCAAACTCAAAGCAGAGGTCCAGGTCCGAGTAGTTATGGCGCCGGGCGAGGCGACTGATACGGACATGTTCGAGAAGTTTGCCAACATACGTGCCTGGGTCATCCGCCGGGGTCCATTCGGGTCCCCATCCAGTGGGAGTAGGACGAAGGTAGGTGAGTGAGTTTCGGGCAATGGCATATAGAGCTTTATATCCCTCCATCGTGTGATCGTAGGGAGACATTAAGCCTCTGATCTTCGTGAGGTGTGTATCAATCATTTGAGAGAGGCGATTATGGATGAATGTGCCTATCTTACGAATGTTAGCCTCTGTTTCATTGTGGTCTGGGGGAAGGCAGCTGTGATGAATATGGAGCTTGTCAATATGTGTGATTGGGAGACTTTCAAGGGTCATGATACTGTAGAGTTCATTGTAGAGAGTGGTAAATTCCGTGGAAGTGAGATATCTGTTTGCCTGGGGCATGATGTTTGGGTTGATATGTTTGTGTTCCAAGACGTTGATTGCCTTACTGACACGGTGGTTGTGAGCATGTTCATAATCTCTGTCTTCCCTGGGGCGTGAATTACGGTCAACGAAAGCATTGACACGGTCAACACATGACGCGAACCTACGAGGCGGTGGTGGGGCTGTAGTCCCAGATCGACTGTCACTGAGGTCATCGATTGGGTCGTTTGCTGGATCCGAATCGTCTGGGTCCGAGTCGCCTGGTTCCGAGGGCGGACCATTGTTACAGCGGGATCGACGGTAGGATTGGGTGTTGTGGCGTGATGAGGGCTCCTTGCTGCGAGGATATGTGTGTGATGTCGTAGTCGGACGGGMTGTAGTCGATGGCATTGTCCAACAGGAGTCCTTGTGGGAGGTGTGGGGAGGCGGAGGTCCGTCAGCATGTTGTTTTAGTGTTTCCTTCAGTTTCTTGAGAAGGAGGGCTTGAAAGGTCCCCGAGGTTGTTAAGTACCGATGGAATTCAGTATTCATATTGTCAGTGAATGGTTTGGAGTGAATGTGTGTTGCAAGTGATTCGTTGACAAGATTTTCAATCAGCCTCTCAGTGATCGAGGAGGATAGATGTTGATCCATCGTATTTACGAGGGTTGATTGAGCCAGTGACGTGGCTGATGCAAGGTCTGCTTTGGCATCATTGGTATCCTTGGAAATAGTGGCTGTGATGTCATATTGTCTGGTTTGAAGTTGAGCTATATAGTTCTGTGTGGTTTGCTTGACAGTATTTTTGGTCTTAAGGAGGTCTGTTTGGTATTGATCACGAAGTTTCTCGAGATGTGTGGAGATTTCATTCAGTGTGGTGTCAAGGACTTTGTCCTTGATACTCTGGATAACAGGGTCCTTTGTTGATGTTAACTCAGTCATCTTGGACTCAATGATTTCCTGTGCTGTATCTTCAAGAGATTCCAGATGAGTTTTAATTGATGTGTGGATGCGATCCTCAATCAGTTTGCCTAGGTGGTGGAGATCTGTTTTGTGTTGGTCCGCAGCTTCCTGAAGCTGTTGTGTGAGTTCCTCAGCTGTGGGAGTCTTCGTAGTGAGGCTACTAGCTTCGTCTCGAATGGCTGTGAGGGTGACAGTTTCATTCCTTAGTGTGGAGAGGACTGTGGACGCTTTCTCCAGGCGTTGATCAAGTGCCCATGAGGTGGATGTGGCTGTACTTAGTTCCTGTGTAAGGGTGTTGGTTTCCTGCAGGGCCCGGGTAAGCAGCGTTCCTTGATGTTTCAATTGCTGTTGAAGGTCTTGGATAACGGTGTTAGCAGCTTCAAGGTTGATTTGGGCCTGGTTGAGTTCTTTTGTTTTGGATTGAATAGAGTGCTCGTATATAGTTTTCATATCAAGAAGGGTGTCCGTAATGGTGGTAAGCTGGGTCTTGAGTTCAGTGTTTCTGTGGTGCCATTGTTGTTCCTGTTGACGGAGTGCAGTGTTGATGAGGTTGAGTACATGTTGATCCGGTGTGCCAGCGGATTTGCTGGATCGTGTCGTGGTGCCGACGGAGTTCTCGTCAGGACTATCGGAGTTGTGTTTCAGTTCCTCCAGTTCTTTGTGGTCGGTACTGTCGAAGGTGTCCTTTATTTCCTCAAGTTCTTTGTCAAGGCGGATGAAGCCTTGGTTCAGGGTTTGGAGGTTTGGTGGGACAGTTGGGGATGCTTTTGCATGATTTGGTGTCGTTGCTGCAGTCGGTGAGGGGTGTTCMCGTGGTGGGTCTTGGTGTGCCAAGATATATTCGTCGTTGAATTGTTGGCGAAGGTCCTTTGGTGGGGGAGTAAGTGAGTCCTCAGTTGTGTCAGACTTGTCCTCGTCCGAGTCTATCGCTGATTCTATTGCTGCTGCTGGTGGGGGTTTGATATGGTGTGAGGCTGGGCTTGATTCCGAGCTCGATTCATCGAGTCGTCGTGGAGGTCTTGAGAGGCGTCGTTGGGGAATGGCCGCAGGAGGTGTATCTTCCGTGGGTGCCAGGAGTGTGTTTAGATGGTCAAGGAAGGCCCTGCTGTATTGGTGTCGAAGCAGGTCTCTTTCCTTTGCTGTTGGTGTTGGTTGGCGGAAGTGATTGTGATGAATGAGGTCTTTGAGGTGATCTCCCAGCATGATAATCTTGTCCGCATCAGGGAGAGCTCTGGTGTGGATGTGTTCCAAGCTATGGTTGTACTGTACTGTAGTTGGCGGGATTCGTGGTTTGAAGAGGAAAAGGGAGCCATCATAGATGGATATGGTGGATTTTGGTGKGAATGCGAGTTCCAGTGCTCTAATTTCTCTTTGGATGTTGCCGTCGTATTCAAGAAGTTCAAGACGATTGCGTTGAGCAGTGGAGGGGTCCTTGCGTGGAGACGGGATGAGGAAGTTCCGAATCCTAGKGGTTCCTGTTGCCTTTGGTGTTGCTGGCTTGCGCGATGTTCGTTGTTGTTGACGTTTCGACGATCTGACCATGGTTGTGGTGATGAAAGTKGTGGTTATCTTAACTAACTGGGTGTGTTTGTTTTGTGGCAACTGATGTGGTGTCAGTTCGCGGTTAGTGTGGTGTCAGTGGTGTTCGGGAATAGTATGTACCGTAGGGTGCTACGTGATTTAGTACTATATATTCGCGGAATTTTCGCAAAAAGTTCCGAAAAAGATGTAATGCGGGAAGCAGCTTCGCGTTGCTTCTCCCCGGTGTTACAGGAAGAGTAGTAAATCAGGCTACTCGTTTGGGTGACTTGGACTTATAGGGATGATGAGGTAATGAAGCKGGTAATAGCGGGTAAGTCGTTGGTTGCTCATAACACCTGCGAAATGTTACTAGGCTCTCTAGTGCATGTTATTGGGTGTTTACAATAAAGAGTGAGTGCTGTGTGCAGCTGATATTGCTGTCTGTTGTTGTCACTCACGTGGTATTCGTGTTAGTGCTACGTGTAGGTGATTTGGGTTGGGGTTATTCTCCTCACATTTGCGCGTTCCAAAAAATAAAAATGCTGCTTGTTCTTAGAGTACTTGTACGTACAAGGTACTACCGTACCGTGTCGTGATGACTTTATCGTCCAGTAACGCTCTCAACCCTCCGTCCTCGTTTCATGTCTGCGGTACGATAGCTGAGAGATCTTTTTGACAGACAACAAAAACAGAACGAGTAGCGAGCCATCAGGTGACATAAAAACAACAACTACTTGCTTCAGCAACAACCAAACAAACCTCAATAGCATTGTTTCGAAAACGGTAGGGGGCCTAGTACCTGCATTCCACTTAGTGCATTACAGTCTCAATAAACCTTATTCTCGCAGTACACAGCAGTATTATAGTCGCGTTTCACGGGTCTTTTGCCAACGTCAATCGCTTGCTTGCGCAGACTCTGAAGACCGTACGTGAAGACAGCAAAACTTGCGTCTTTCCTTTCCTTGCCCAACCCAGTTGTCAATTGCGTTCAATTCAATTCGATTCGATTCGATCCATTTCAATTCGGTCCGCGAATTAAGTCAAATTCTGGTTGCTATTTTCATTCCAGAACATCCTCTGTCATTCCGTTGAAACCTCGCGTTGACCAGTCAATTCCCTGCAAACTTGCCTGGTCGCGACGAAAGCAATTCCTCTCTTTTTGTTCCTTTTTCTACAACTTGTGTATCCGTTCGGCATCGAAAGCAAGAGAAATAGAAAATCGAAAAAAGCTTATGCAACATAGCATCGTTGTTTGCTTCCTAAACTTCGTTGCAAATTATTTATCCTACTTCCTATCGGGAATAATTTCCTTTGCAATTCCAAGAAACAATACCATGATGAACGACGACGATAGCACCGATGACGAGAGCCTATTCGGTGACGGTAGCGATGACGAGAGCAACAAAGAAAGTGCTGCTCCATCGAAACCGGAAAGTCCACCGAAACCAGCAGCCCCACCCACTCCCGTGGTCCCACCCGCCGCTGCAGCCTCGTCCGCTCGCGTGACGAGGTCCTCGGCGAGGATTGCTGCAACCACAGCGGCTGCAACCCCAGCAGCTGCAACCACAGCGGCTGCAACCACAGCAGCTGCAACCACAACGGCTGCAACCACACCGGTTGCAACCACAACGGCTGCAACCACAACGGCCGCAACCACAACGCCACCCACACCCGCAGTGAAGGACGAACCCATTGAACCGACAGAAGCCGTACCACCTCCGGCTCCAGCACCGGTTCCAACACGGGCTCCACCAGCAGCTGCATCAAACGAACCATCCACTCCCAACCCCGCTGTGGCTGTTAAGAAAGAGCCAGCGGAGGTCGTTTTTTCCATTCCGCGAAAAATCAGTCATTCCTCTTCTCCGCCGGCAACGAACGAAGCATCCACCTCCCCTAACAAAAGAAGCAACAGCAGTCCCACGTCTCCCTCGTTATCGTCTCCCATTGCCAAAAAGAAGAAACCAAACCCCGGCACGGAAGCAGCTCCCACGATTCCGCTCGTGGACGATGCCCGGGCCGCCCGCTTTGGTCTTCCTAAGGGGACCATGCTGCCAAGATCGGTCAGCGACGACGTTCTGAATCAGGGCCGTGTCCTGGACTACCTCAAATCGCTGGGATCCGTGAGTCTCATCAACGACGCCCTCAACGAGTACGACGACGCGGCACAGCTCAAGGGAAATGAAATTCGTAACAAGGGAGCCTACCTATATGGTGTCGTCAAGCGCTACATGAACGTTCGGGACCGGGCCTCGGGGGGCAATGCCTCGGACCTGCCGATGGGCCGCGATCTGACCCCCCCCGTCCACCAGCGCCTCCAGAAACTGGTCCGGGACAACTACTGCACCGCGGAGGAGCTGACCAAAAACGATAAGGTCCTGTCGAAAATCCGGATGCTCTCGGAAAAGGACGCCATGGGTGCCATCGAGGAGCTCTCTACTGTCGATCGCAACTCGATTCGAAACTTTGTTTCTTATTTCATGGGCATCCTGAATCGTTACATGCGAGGCGAACCTCAGCCACAATCCTCCTCCTCTTCGCCGGGAACTAAGGCTTCAGGAGGCGGCGCAAGCAATGGGAACAACAACAAGAGCAACAGCAGCAATCAGGTCGGTACCAAAACAAGTCGTGTGTGAAAATGTTGATGTGCGGTTGTGACAGTAACCAGTTAATTGACGAGAGGCATCCATGATACGCGATGGTTGTAAAGCGTTGATTGGTGAAGACTTTTTTTTGCTTTGTACCTATCATTTTGTCTCACTTAAATTCGTTTTTGGATCCAAAACACTCTAATGAATCAAATTGACTTGAATTCTTGATTGCCATCGCTATCGGTTTCCCCCATTGTATGCTATGATCATTGGTTGGATTTCATCCCAAAACGATTCATCAGCAGCGCAACAAAAACAACAACAACCGTGGTCGTTCGTCCATGAAGCAAGACCCCATGGATGCGTATCGTCGTGAGAGAGCTCGCGATCGCAGCAATAGTTTTGATCGGCACAACAACAACAACAATCGAAGGTCTCGCAACCAAAACGGTCCCGGCGGCGGTGGTGTCTCTCATTACGGGCCCTCGCCATACGGAAACAACAATAGTAGCAACAACCAAAACAAAAACCACCAATATCCTCCGAATTCAAAGTATGCACCCAGCAGTGGTTCGGGTGGACCACCTCCGCCCCCACCCCACAATGGCATGGGAGGGCTCATGGGAAACAACGGAAATCTTCCACCCCCTCCTCCCCCGCCACCCCCGCGACAAGCAGCGCATGGTGGGGGTCCGCCGCCGCCCTCGCAGTATGGGGCCCCACCCCCTCAACAGCAGATGCAGCAACAGCAGCAGCAACTACCACCCCCACACACCCAGCATTACGGGTCGCAGCAGCCTCAGCAACAACAGCAACCAGCAAACAACATGTATGGGGGTCAACAGCAGCCTTCCTACGCTGCTCAGTCGCAGCAGCAGCCGCATCATCAAATGATGACCCCCGGATCGGCCTCGGTAGGGGTGCCTCCTCCTGCAACTGGAGTCCCTTCCAACAATTCGTACTACGGCGCTCAGAATCCGCAGCAGCAGCAGCAGTATGGGGGCAATGTTGCAGCTTCGTACTCCAATCCTCCTGCAACCAATGCCATGGCTGCACAGAAACAGCCATACATGCAGCATCAGCAGCAAGCAGCGCGAGTCCCTCCTGCCACAAATGGCTATGCTCCCCAGCACCAACAATCACAGCAGCAGCAACAAACGGGATGGCAGCAGCAGACCCAAAACCAGTCCGTTGCCGGAGCCGCGGGATTGGTGGACATTTTGGGCATAGCTGACAAGGCTGCTTCCGCAGTGCAGGCACTCCAAAACCAGAATCGTCTCAAACAGCCACAGCAGCAACAGCCATACCAGCAACAGCAGCAGCAACATCAACAGCCGTACCAACAAGGTACACAACAGCAGCCGGCTCAACAGCACGCTCCTCCCGTGCAACATCATCAGCAGCAATCGTATCAAGCGCAACAGCACCAACAATACCAGCAGCAACCACAGATTCAGCAGCCACAGCAATACCAACAAGCGCAGGTTCAGCAGCCTGCGGCCAACAATCAGTATGGTGCATATGGTCCTCCAGCGCAAACATCCACGCCGTATTCGACCGGAGCTCCTCCATACCAGCAACAGGCGCAGCAACAGCAGCAACAATATCCACCACAACAAGGTCATTATGGCAATCATATGCAGCAGCAGCAGCAGCAACAACAACAACACCAACAACACAATCCATACCAGCACCAGCAACACAACCAGCAGCATCACCAGCGACAGCAGCAAGATCGTGATCCATATTCGAACAAAAGGCAAAAACAGGGAAGGTCTAGAAGAACAACTGCGTCCATGCACGAACTTCTCCCTGTCGTCCAACAAGCAATTCATGTAAGACTATGTGTTCAGAAATAGAACAAAGGTTCGGTTTGATTGCGATTATTTTTCCTTCACGTTTGATGGGTCCCGACCCGCGATTTTCTTTTCTCATTGCATCCACTTTTGCATCGCTCTGTTTCATTCTACTTTTACGATTCCCCCCTCCTATTTCTCTTCCCTCCAGCACATTCAAAACACCCGCCAGGTCGATGCCCCCCTCGACGAAGGAATGCTCGGGATGATCAAGGATCTCCCGGAACACCTGGCGCTCCAGTCCCTCCACAAATTTTCTTCGATCGACAAGAACTCGATGAGGAACAAGACCGCCTACCTCGCGGGTGTCCTCAGGAGAGAGCTGGAACGGATCCATCGGCGCTAGAGAGTGCCATCTGTATAATGTTACTGATGCTGTGTGTCTACCGAACATTGAAAATGCGTCGCTTTTTGAAGAAAAATCTACGTTCTATGACGGCGTTGGTATTGAAAGGAAAGGCTACGTTCCATAATTAAGTCGTGATTCGGACGATTATTTGAGGAGGCCGGCATCGTTTCGCAGTCTTGGTGCAAAACGAGAAGGACCACCAACGAAAGGACTAAGCTCGAGTTATTTTCCCTTTCTGCAAAGATTGTTGCTGTGCTTAGTTTCGAGTATTCGAGAATAAAATAAGATAAATGATACATACAATGGTTTCTAGAGTTCTTTAGTAGTCTATGGATAATGAATGGTTCCGTGCCCTTGGCTTGCCCCCCGCGCGTGGGGTGGTGGGGTTTGCGGCCCGCCTGGTTTCAGGCCGGTGCCGCGACCTTGCCCACCAGAAACCTGCCCCGTTGCACGGTCCGCGGTGGCTCCCCCTCGGGATCGTCGTCCCTGCCCTCCTCCTTGCGGCTCCTCTTGTGGTGGCGGACCGCCTCCGAGAGCAAGTGTCCGGCCGCCCTGGTGGTGTCCGCCAGCTTGTGTCCGGCCGCCTTGGTGGTCCCGGCCATTTTCTCGGCCATCCCGCGGGCGGCGAGGGCCATCCCGTAGGCCCGCTCCGACCGGTAGTGCGCCGTTCGGCCGTCGGCCTCGACCACCGCGACGCGGCCGTCGACCCCGCTCACGATCCGCGGGGCCTCGCTGCCGTCCCACTCGGGACCGGCCGGGTCCTTCGTGTGGGGATTCTCCCTGCGGCGGTGGTCCTTGGGGTCGGAACCGACCCTGGACGCCTTTCGAAAGAACCGGAGGTTTTGGATGCCGCTCTGCGGTACCTTGCCGCTGCCATCGGTCCTTGAGGGCGAGCCCTGCTCGGTGGCCCGGACCGACGGAGTGCCTTCCGAGGAAATCCATTCGCTCCCTCCCAGGCAGGTGTTTTTGCTCAGATCAAATCCGTTGGAGGAATCGTCGATGTCGTCGTATGCGCCCTCCGAATCGCTTTCCGTGATGCTTTTCATCGGAACGATGCATTTCCTGGACCGTCGGAGGCTGTGCCTGCGTGTAGAGGAAGGAACCGGCACGGTTTCGGTCGTTTCCGGCTTGATGTAGATCTCGGTCGGCACGGGGTGGTGGTTTTGCTTTTGTACCGGCTGTGCCGCCCAGTCCGGGAGCCACCCCTTCCGGCCGTGGCACCTCCCCCACCTCCAGCCGTTCTGCGGGGGCCGGCTAAAGTCGACCTCCAGGGGGGTGTTGCGGTAGAAGGACAGCTGGCTCAGCAGGGCATCGCCAAAGAAATCCGCCGTGGCGACGCACGGAAGGCGTCTTGGATCGTACTCCTTGAGCTGTTGTTGTTGGTTGGTGTTGGAGTTGGTATTCAAAGTCATGGTTGGGTTTGGGTATTCGTAGTAGCAGTTGTTGTTTGCATTATTCGTTTGCATTTTTATGGGAGCTGATCCTGTAGTCGTGGAATTCCACCAGTGCCCAGTGCCGTTTTAAGCAGTCGTACATGCCGGAATACTGAATACTACTCGTACTTGTTCTTGAGAGCACCAATCGGCTCCTATCGTACGAACGGTACTTTTCGTTACGTGGAATACTACTTACAGTAAGAATTCTATGGTACGTTGTGCACAAGAAAAATCTGCACAAATCGGAGTTCCACTGGAAAAATTCGCACAACCCGAAGGGAGCAGACAAAGAGAACAAAAGCACGACTGATCGTCGCGAACAAATGCACGATTAATGGTCGCGCAATACGAGTCTTCCTGGCTAAGCATTCTTACATCATCGTAATGCAATTACAGTAACTTACTTTTTACAATAAGTAGAAAGAAATTCAGAATTGTAATTGCCCTCTTGCGGTCATTCAGTCAACACAATAACTCTTAAATGGTTGTATTACGGTAACGTAGAAATACTTAGTACTACGGTAGGTGTCACAGTGTTTCTTGCTTTTGGGGTCCATGAAAAACGTTCATACGATCATGGACAATGCTTACTCTTATTATCATACCGTACGATCGTACCAACCTCTTCTAGATGCTTCTAGATGTGAGCACAACTAGGGTTAGAGTTGTTCTCAATCGTACGACCGGTGTCAATCAATGAAACACGCCACGATACGGTAGTACGACGGCGCATCACCCCGGGTTGACACCAAGGTGAAGAATAGAATCAAATAAAAAAATATTGAAAAAATCTTCCCTCGCCAAACGAGAAACCACGAGAGCAACAACACAAACCACAATCAACAACAACAACCAAAAACACGCGACGATAACTCCAATTATCTATACTGTAGCCATGACCATGATCACGTCCCTGGCAACAGCTGCCTCTCCGGTCGGGAGGAGAATAGCCACCCCGGCAGCACAGGCAACAGCAACAGCAACAGCAGCAGTCGCAGTCGCAGTCGCAACACCTTCGACACTTGCACCCGCATTGGCATCGACCCCGGAAGCGACGCCTTCCTTCCGCTCGTTTTCCACCGAGCGACCACCGCGCGCCCCATCGATCTCCACCCGCATCACGGACCTCTTTGGGTGCGAGCACCCGATCGTCCTCCCGGGCATGTCCTGGATCTCCACGCCGGAGCTGGTGGCGGCGGTCTCGAACGCCGGGGGCGTCGGCATCCTGGCCACCGGCCCGCTGTCGGCTTGCGAGACAAGGGCCTCGATCCGCAGGGTCCGGTCCCTGCTGAGGGACCCGGACCTCCCCTTCGGGATCGGGGCCACCCTGCTCATGCCGGGGGCCCACGAGAACGCAGGGGTGGCCCTGGAGGAGGAGGTCCCCGTCGTCAACGTCTCCCTCGGAAAGGCGGGCTGGATCCGGGACGGCCTGGACGCCTACGGGGGAAAGCTCCTGGCCACCGTGACCAACCGTGTCCACGCGGCCGCCGCCGTGGAGTCCGGGGCCGACGCCCTCATGGCCACGGGCCACGAGGCGGCCGCCCACGGGGGCGACGTCACCTCGCTGGTGCTGGTCCCGGCGCTGGCGGGGGCCTTTCCGGAGACCCCCCTGGTGGCGGCCGGGGGCTTTTGCGACGGAAGGGGCCTGAACGCGGCCCTGGTGCTGGGGGCGGACGCCGTTGCGATGGGCACCCGGATGGCCGTGACGGAGGAGAGCCCCCTGGCGGGTGCCACGAAGGAGGCGATCGTGACCGCCGGGGAGGCCGAGACGATCTACGGGGACAACTTCGACGGGATCCCGGCGCGGGTCCTCGCGACCGATGCCTCCGCCAAGGCGATGGGATCCCGGCCGCTGCCGCCGGTGGTGGCCTACCGGGCCTTTTGCGCGGCCAGGGGCATGGGCATCCCGCTGTGGAAGGTCCTTCCGGGCCTCCTGACCCAGTGGAACAAGATGTACGCGGTGGCCCAGTTCGGCGCGGCCACGGAGGCCATCGTGGCGGCGACCGTCGGGGGGGACGTGGCCGGAAAGGGGGTCCAGTTTGCCGGGCAGTGCCAGGGGCTGATCCACGACGTGCCGGGGGTGGAGGACCTGGTGCGGCGGGTCGTCGAGGAATCCCTCGCCGTGCAGAGGGCGCAGGCCGAGCGGCACCGAAGGTGGCCCGGCGGGACCCACCACGGGGGGGACTACTATCCGTTCGAGTGAGCACTGTGAGCACACGGGCCGGAAACGAAACGAAACGAACGCGGGATCCAAAGCTCTCTGCGAGCCGTCGGCAGGTGTGCGTGCGGCTTGCCAAGAGATCGGTCGTCGGTGCTGCAACTACTGTACTAGTAGTTGATCGGGTTCTTTTGTTTTTGCTGCAGCAGCAGTCTGTTGCTGCTGCTGCTGCTGTATATACTCTAGTATTACAATGTAGCAGTGTCTTTTTCCAGTCGGCAAGAACTGGCAATGTATACTTGCGGTGACAGGATTCTTGTGCCACCTAGTAGTAGACAAAAGCTCGTGTCTTGATTGCAGGACTCGGCATGTTCCTCCACTTCCTTCGTAGAACAAAGCGACATGAGAGACGATCAATACCGCAATAGTCCATGCCAACGAATCGATCTATACCACTGCATTTCTCCGTCTGCTGTCCTCCTACAATCAATTCTGTCTTCACAGATTGTTCAGATCCGGAAAAAATCTTTCCTCATCTATCCTTGTGACCGTATTTTTCAGTCACGAGGGAATCTGGAAAGCGATGCGTCGTTGTTTTCTTTGTTATCTACCTAAACAACGTACCAAGGTACACAGACTACATAGGATAACATTATGGCAAATGGCAAACCAACACGACACAATTCGTCGAGTCTTCCAAGATTTTGACACCTTCGCTTCGTTCGTTCCCGGAAGAGAGTGTTGCGAATCATCACACTGCACATGTTACACTCGTCCTCAACGACCGCGGCCATCCAGAAATAAGTGTTCATTGCGCAAACACAAACAGACGATTGCCGGTGAAGCGAAGCAGCAGCAGCAACTACAACAACAGCAACCACACCATGGATGCCCCGCGGGGAGACGGAGATCGAGAGTTGCGGCGGCCCCTCCTGCCGCGAAACAAAAACAACAACGCAAACGCAAACGCAAACACACGCAGCGACGGGCCCGGCGGCGACGAGGAGGCACTCATCCTCGAGGAATGGAACGCGTCGGTCTCCGAGTTTCTGGCCCGGGACGGCAGCGAAGAAAATTCTCGCTGCTACTGCTGCCCCTCTTTCGACGGTGTTCCGGAAGGGGGAAGAAGTGGCGGAGACGATCCGAGCGAGAGCGAGAGCAGTGGTGGCGGGGAGCTCCCGCGCAACTACCTTCCGGAGGCCGCTCCCTCCCGGGGGGCGCTCTGCGGAACCCTGTCGCGGATGATGCGATCCACGCTCCTCCCGGATTGCGAACCCACGCTGGGCAGCTATTACGTACGCAGCGGCAGCAGCGACGAGAGCAACAACAACAACGAAAACGAAGGCGAGCTGTACCAACGACGGCCCAGGCGCGTCGTCGACGGCGTCGGAGTGGTCAGGTTTGCAAAGTTCGCCGGGCTGACGCTCGCATCGATCGCACTCGTGCGGTGCGTCGTGGTCCGAGAGTTCCCGGACCACGACCGGTACCTGCGGCTGTGGCAGGTGTTTTTCTACGAGGGCGATTCCATCCTCAGGGACCTCTGCGTCTTTTTCGTCGTCGGCCGGATGCACCTGCGGCCCGGGGTCGACTGCATCGAGTGGGTCCTGGTGGCGCTGGTGGCCAACGTGTACTTTGAGTGCCAGGGCTACCTGCCCTGGATGCAGCACGCGGTGACGCTCTATGAGATGCACTGCCTGTGGCCCTGGCAGCTGTGGGCCTTTGCGGTCCTCGTCGCATGCGCCTTTGTGGGGGTCGTGGTCGCCCACGCTTTCGTGGCTTCCAAGCCCTCAAAGGCGATCGCCTGGATCAAGCTGGCAGAGCTGCTGGTCTGCGCGGGGGTCTTTCTGGCACCGGTGGTTTCCTCCCCCTACTTCCACCTGCACCACTGGTTCGCCGGGTGGCTCCTCGGGATGCACGCCAACCTCCACGATCGGTGGTGGAGCCGGGCCACCATGGCCTATTGCTGGGGGATGTACGTCAACGGGATCGCGGTGTACGGCCGGGATCCCCTGCTGACCTGCGACTACGCCAGGTTCCTGTCGGAAGACCAGGGGTGTCCGGTGGCACCCATGGCGGCCGTTGGGTATGCCGCACCGAGCCGCGACGGAGGAGGGGGCGGGTGGTGGTGGTGGTGGCCGGCGAGCCTCGCTGGGGCCGCCGGCGTGGACGGTTTGCAGCCCGCGGATTGGAGGAACTGCAGCAGCTCCGGGTACCATCCCTGAGCGGGCGGGCATGGCGAGAGAGAGAGAGACGTCCGAACGAAGGAAACCCGGCACGAGTCTTGGCGGATCGCTGCCGATGGCAAGCTGCCGGAGTCCCGCACAGCCATTGTCTCTGAAAAACATGCTTCGAACCCCAAAACGAGGGCCCAAGTCGTTTGGAAGGCACCGGAACCCGGCACCGGTTTTGCACCGTTGCCGCAACGCTCGGTGCGTCGCAAGACAAGCGGAAGACGCCACGCTTCGATCGTTCTTGGCGGGGAGCGCCGCATCACCAAGGGACCCGATCCTCGCGATGCGTGCTGCTGTACTGCTGCGAGTCGCGCGAGTCGCCGCACGATGGTTTGGATTCCCATGCAACGCGCACCGTTGCCTACGTATCTCTAGGAGCGCGGTGCCATCGCTGCTTCGCTTGAGGCGCAGTTCACCCGCCAACTCCCGGGTGGTTTCACACTATTAGTAATAGTAGTAGTAACTAGTAGTAGTAATACTACATTGCCATCATTTTTTTCTTCATTGCAGCAGATAGTTGTACTAGGAACTCAATGTTACCAGTGTTGTGGTCATTGGGGTGTTGTATCGATAATATGAAAAAAATATATATTAATAGGTCTTGTCTGATGTGCTGTTTTGTTGTTGCTGAGATATACTAGCTAGTTCGTAGTAGTAGAAGCACTAGTAAGAAGTTCTGGGTAACAGAAATACTCTATTAGTAGCCAAGTCTTCGCTAGTACCTGAGGGTTGCGATTTTTCAATCCGACTAGTCAAGTGACTATTGAAGAACATGAGAAGAATCTTTTTGGTGATTCAATGGGTGATTCCCGTTAATTTGTCAAGAGCGGTAATACCGTACAGAAACTTGGTCAACGGTGTCGACATCGCACCACCTACCGGTCTAAAAACGACAAATATTCTCTTTGTTCCTTTGCAAAGATGGGAACTTAGTACGAGCACAATGATAGTTCTCTGGTGGTGGTATGCTTGGCGTTGTTCTATTCAAGTTACTTACTGGTTTAACGAGTTACTATAACGTACGCGTTGTTGACTTCATAGATCTCCACGCGCTCCATACCGGTAACAGTTACCAAAATCTTTTCTTGCGTTTTCCTACGGTACATAGATGGTTTCTGCGCACGCCAAAAATGCACGTTGCCATGGACTAATTTTCTCTATGAAGTATCTCCCTCATGTAATGCTGCAACCTTGAGAACATTCCGGCCAACTGCTCCAAATCTGTTCTTAGATATTGTAATGCTCTGACGTACGGTACGAGTAAGTACTTTGGCAAGAAGAAATGACGTTGCAACTGGCGAAAATTGGGCTTAAGAAATACTTCCATATTGACCTCGGAAGTATTTCGTATTCGTAGGAATTTCTCGTTGCGGGTGCGGTACTCGTATGATGTCTGCAAGCAGGATTTTTTTTTTCATGGCGGCTGCGTGTTATGTTGGAGGATCTGGAACACATCGTTAACACACATCGTTTCAATTCGAAAAATCTCGTGTGTTCTCCTTTCCCTCACAAATAAAAAAACAATCAAACTACAATTGAAAAAAAACGAACTCAAACTACAAGCAACATAACTTTCAAAACTATGAATACTACCACTAACAACACTATCCAACCGTTGAATATTGACGAAGACCTTAAAAAGAAGATCGAATCCACAGAATTTGTGTACCTTGTCGCCAAGTCGGGTATTGGCAAGTCATTCACTGGAGACTATCTCCAGGTTGTCAGGAACTGGAACCATGTGGACGGGGACTTTCCTCTCAAACAGAGTACTTTCAAGCCGGAATACGTAGACATGGTGGAACGATTATTTATTTCAGGAAAATATGCTCATATCCAGGAACTGCCAGAGGAAGAAAGAAGAGAATGGTTTGCGCGGGAAGGATACCAGGCCTACTTCACCGAAGTTGCGCGCAAAACGCTAGAAGCGGCCCGGGAATCTGACAAAGTGGTCGCTACACATGCCACATACATCGCTGACGCGAGGAATTTTTTCATCGATACTCTTATCGCTTCGGGTGCCAAGGAAGTGCGTTTGGTCTATCTGGATTGCGACTTCGATGTCCACATGGATGCTCTCTGGAAGCGAGCCTTGCGCCAGGCAGAACAATTCCCAGGAACAATAGAGGAGGGTTTAGAAGCATTTTATGGCGGTTCAGATTTCGAATCATTCGTCAAACATCAAAAAAATATTATTGAGACCTACTTTGAAGAACCATCGGAATCTGAGAAGCCTACCGTAGTGGATGTAACCGCCAAGGATATCACCACTTTGGATGCTGTCGACCGAGCTTTTGGTGTACCGGATGGAGAAGGCCGCGGGGACCTATCATACGAGGAAATGATCGAAAAGATCAAGGCGGCAGACATCATTCGAGACGAGGAATTTTTTAATAACATGGAAATAAACCTCGAAGAAGAAGCTAAAATGGATGAAGCCGAGATGAAGAAACGCAGGTCGTTCAGAAGGAATTCTTCCCTTCGCAATTCGTGTTGTTTGAAGGTGCTCGAAGCCAATATCGAAGAAGCCATTTCTGCCTAGTCTAAAAATTCATTCTAATTTTATTTAATCGTCTTTTGCATTTAATTTTAGTAGCAATCATTGGCAAATTATTTACATGGGTGTTGAGCTGGTAGGTTTCACAAAATTTTTATTACTAAATGAAGTTTTGCATTTAATTTTAGTGGCAATCATTGTCAAGAAAGGAAAGCTAAAAATTACTACTGCTGAAGGCAAGGAATTCATTTATGGTCTAGGAGGAGATATGTTTGCACAAATCATTCCAGTAGGATCTGGTGCATATGGGAGGTTCTTGAGGCTCCTTTGGAGGAGGTCACCATACAGGGTGTCCCTATTCCCAACACCTGTGGCAATGAGCAAAGTGATTACGAAGTTATGGTTAGTATGCTGCTAGAACTAGCACTAGTTTCTTGTCGCTGTGAGAAGACAACCAAAAATCACCAGGGTCTACTACAGTAGGCTCATGCTAAGCGCAGTTGTTCCTAACAGCTCTTAGCCTGAGTTGTTGGAGCCTTGTCGTTCCTTCTTCCTGTGGCGGTAGCGCGATGTGGACAACCAAAAATCACCAGGGTCTACTACAGTAGGCTCATGGTATGGGTTTCTGTGAAAGTCCCATTATTTGGAGTCGTGTTGTGTGCCCCTACGTGGGGTGACTCGTAACACATCTACTACAGGCTAACTTAAGTACTTTAATTTCTGTAGTTAAGTACGTTTGTTTCTGTTTCGTCGTTCCGACCCACGCCGAAGAAACAACTTTTCGTCTTCTCTTGCACCAACCATATCACCTGTTGAAACTACAACGCCTTCTGAAACCCTAACATTGGGCTATACAGCATCCCCAGTTACCAAATCGACGAAGGAGCGGATCACGATGGATGAAGAAAAAGGCAAACGCGAGGAGAGACGGGCTTTTGTGGATTCCTCATCTGAAAGCAGGGAGATGGAATCTCTGGCACCGGCGGTGGACGAAGTCGGGGGCGATGGTCAAACGTCGGAACGATCTTTTGGAGATGACAGTAATGATGATGGTGATAGCGTTGCCGAGGGAACTGGATTTCTAGAAATGATGCCGATGAAAGGGTCCTCAAGGCAATACCTTCCCGTGCCATCGTCGACGAATGCGTCTCCTTCTTTTTCGTCAGACGAAAGCGGATGGAGCTTATTTCTGCACAAGACCCTACTTACCGACGAAGGGATAGCATTTCGAGGGTTTCCGTTGCTCGAGAGCAGTGGATTTTCCACCAAGTTGCTGAAGTTTGTCTGCTGGACCTTTCTTTCAATCTGTTTGGTGCACCTGGTCGTCGCCCAGTTTTTTGACGACCGGGACATGTTTCTCCGGCTGAGCTACGTATGGAAATACGAGGGGGATCTTATCGTCCGTGACTGCTTCGTCTTTTTCGTGGTCGGTCGCCTCTGGGAAAAGCCGGGGATTGACCATCTGGCCTGGATGGGGACCGCTCTAGTCGCAAACATTTACTTCGAGAGCCAGAACTACATCTGGTTCCTCCAGCACAGCGTGACGCTCTTTCAGATGCACTGCATGTGGCCCTGGGAGTTGTGGATCTTTGCACTGGCACTAATTGTCTCGGCAGCGCTCCTAATTTTACTCCACGCCCTCAAGGCCTGGAACGAGCGAATCCTGTTTGTCAAGCTAACGGAAATGGGCCTGTGCATCCTCTTCTTTATCGCCCCGATGATCACCTCCAACTTTTTCCACATGCACCACTGGTATGCCGGCTGGCTGATGGGGATGCACTTTAACTACGATGTCTGGTAAGTTGGGTTGAAGTGTTGTAGGGAGTATTGCAGTATAAATTCGTTTTGCTTTGTTTCTTTTTTAATGAAAGCGCCAGTCTTATTCAGACGGTTTGTCTTTTCGCTTTATTGCAACAATCCAACCATTAAATTTCATCATTGTCTTTGTCGACTAGGTGGAGCCGGCTGGCCATGGCCTGGTGCTGGGGTATGTATGTCAACGGGGTCGCCGTGTACGGGCGGGATCCCGTCATGACGTGCGAATACTCGTATTTTTTGTCCCTCGACAACCGGTGCCCCTACATTTCCTGCTACCTAGAGGGGCTTGCAGACGAGAACAATACGGAGGTGGTGGAAATGGTTCCAGTCGACTGGAGAAATTGCTCGGCGACCACTGGTTTCATCCCCTGAGCAACTCGTCTTGGAACGAGTCGATACCTGTAGAATGAATAATACAAAACCTTAAAACGAAGCAGAACATAATTAAAGAAGATGATTTGGGAGTGCAACACATCACGAGTAACTTAAACAAATAAAATACCACTGATTATAATAATCTTGCGACTGCCTAGTGATGGTTCCCTACGATAATCGACATGATAACAAGAGGACGGAGGAAATTTCCGGAAGGCAACCAACGATTGGTTTATCGAGAACAACGGAACTGAATGGGCCACAACAAGACAAGGGGCAGTTAACTGCATTACCTAGTATTTGTTCATTAATTGCACCCTTGCACCATGCATCGGGATGGCGTTCGTTCGTTCTTTCGTTTTTCCGAGAGTGTTTTTGTTGTTGAATTCGACAGAAGGAATTGCATGGCATCCGTACCAAGGCCGTTGCTTCCGAAAATACTCCCTCTATGTTCCCATCCAATTAAAGGTTTTTCGCTACGAGTTCTTTCAGTTTAAGTTGGTCGGCGCCCATCAACTCATCAACCTTTGCTCCGCCCTTAAAGAACTGAAAAGTGGGCATCGCAGAGATGCCGCAAGTCGAAGCGACATCGTTCGCCTCATCCACGTCGACCTTGACAAAGATGGCGTCTGGATATTCACCGGCCATCGCTTCAAAGATTGGTCCGATCATGCGGCAGGGAGGGCACCTGGCAAAGCCCACAGCAGAAATCAAAACAAATTGAACGGCGTTTGGATGCATATCGCACAATACAATGAAACGAGATCAGTTCGTGCATGAGACACACAAAAGCAGAAAGAAAGAGCAAGGTTGGAGGGATCGATATTAGTCAATAAGCAAGTGATTCTCAATATTTCCCGGCAGTTTCGTGCGGAAAAAATAGCGATTGCCATTTGGGCACAGGAGAGTCATCAAACTCATGAATGAATCGTAATTCATACGTCGCATCATTATCACTATAACGCTCATCAAAAGCACCCTCCCATGGGGATGTTCGACAACCAGAATTCAACGCAATCCAATATATTTCATTGCAATGGAATGAAGCAAAAAGGAACGTACCAGGTTGCCGTGAAGTCGACGACAACGAGCTTCTCTTTGGATTTCTCCATGAGTTCATGAAATTCTGTTAGGTCCTTGCAGTAGTTTACCATGATTGTTGGTTTTATTTAGTACGGGTTGGATGATGTTTTCTTGTTTGGTTTTGTTTGGTTTTGTTTGAACTTAGCTTTCAATTTATGTCAGTGCAAAGAGGCTGATGGTACAATGTGTGAGACATTAAACACTCCACAATCACGAGTGGTACCGTACGTACTGTGTACTCCTTGGTGTATTTCGTACCGGTCCGACCTAAAATTCTCGATAGGATTTCAGGAACAGGCCCAAGCACTATTCATTATTCTGTATGGCGTAGAAATTGGTATGATACAGTATCGTATGACCTACGTACCGTACCCAAACATGCTCAGGACCCTTCCGAATCAGCCTTTTTACTGCCTTCTTACCCTGCAGGCGCGAGACAGTTGGTAAACTAACAGACGACTAATAGACATCGAACACGATTGAATTTTGAGTCGTGGTAAAATGTCCTACTGTTCAGTAGCACGCCTCACCAATCATACGAATATCCTGGTTGCCAATTGTTGCGCGAAACGCGCGGTAAAAATGCTGATTCGGAAGGGTCCTGATGATGGTACAGAATTGAAAAACGCACAGTACCGTAGCGTAGACTAAACTGCGCAGGTTTGGACGGCGGGCAAGCCACAAGTGTTCACGGGGGGATTTTATTTGATATTTGGCGTTTTCTTAGAGTTGGGGATAATACTAATATTTTGTAGGAATCAAGCAATCTGATTGGCTGATTGGACAGAAAAAAATTTGCAGTCCCTCAAAATTCTATTTCCGCATGTGACGACAATCCACAATCACGAGTAGATAGTGAATGATTTTGAATGCAGTACAAATCCTCTGTAGAATTTATTTTCAATAATTTTGATCTGTCTAATCAGCCAATCAGATTGTTTGATTTCGTATTATCCCTAACTCCAAGAAAACGCCAAAAATCAAATAAAATCCCCTTTTCGTGCGTTTTGAACACCTGTGAAGCGCCATGTCATGCCAGGAGTTCGTTCTTCGAAGGTTATCTTTCGATGTCAGTGAAAATGACTAAATAGATCTTAGAGACGTTTCGACCGACAAAAATTATTTTTTTTATTTTCCTCTTTGTTCGCCCCTCCACACATAAAAGCTAGGGAGTTGTCCCGAAATAGTATTGGCTACGGGGGTGCACTGGACTAGTACCACTATCTTCAGTGCACACCAGTAGCCAATAACCTTAAAGAGTTCTCACAGCCCTGGACTTACCAAGGAAACAAAAAGAAACTTGTTTTTAGTGTGGATTTGTGTAAACCTTGGTATACCATGTTTTGCAAATAAATTAGTACTAGTACTAGAACTAGAACTAGAACTACTACTAGCAGAACTAGTAGTAGAACTAGTAGTACTAGTAGTACCTTGACCAAAAACAGAGCATTATTCATTTTTAGTAGTCTAACTCTTAGTAGTAAACATTCAGTCATTATTGTGACTAAAAGTCATTCAAGTATTTAAAAGAAACAAATTGCTCCCAAGACTCAAAAAATCAGTCATTATTGAGAGGATCAGTCATTCCAGTATTTACGAGAACCAAATTGCTCCCAAGACTCAAAAATCAGTCATTATGGTGGCCTGACAATAAGTCATTCCAGTATTAAAGAGAGCCAAATTGCTTCATAGTATTTGCAATTGGTCATTCCAAGATTTAAGAGAACCAAATTGCTCCCAAGACTCAAATAAATACTTGTAAGTCAAATTTGTGATTGGCTGTTCCAAAATGTGAGAGAATAACCTACTACTAGTAAATCCTACCAAGACTCACAAATTCAGTTATTTTTGTGATCAGTCAGTCTGGCATTGAAAAGAAGCCAACAACAACACCACCCAATAAATAGTATTGACAGCTTTGGGTATAGTTACCGCTATGACATGCATGATGATGCACCAACTGATGCCTTGTTGGACAACAACAAGAAGTTGAGTCCTACACAAAATATTGCCAGTTCCTCTCCACAGGAGTTGGAGAAGAGCATCATGAAGCATAGCAATGCCAACACCAACGCCAACATTGACAGCAGCCTCTACAACAACATTTAGCCACCAGCAAATTGGCCAACTACTACAACACCAATGAGGAGAAATTGTCATGATTGGTAATTCAAAAATCACACTGGTTCTTATTTTTACATGGTGGAAGAGAATCCCATTCCCAAAATGTAATAAATTATGACCTGTTAAATTTCAAAGTCAACCAACAAAGATGACTCTGAAGTGTATGCTAGTGCAGGGAAACATATGTTAAACAAATTTCAACAAGAAGTTTACAACAGTGAGGAAGACAACAATGAGTGCAATGTTGCAATTTGCAAACAAGGAGTTCATGCTTTGATGGGAGCTGTCACTTTAAGCAAAAAGTCACACATTGTTTCTGGTCCCATGGCAAGCTATCTCCTTCAAAATAATGGGTCTTGTCTCCACTTTTCTCATGAATTTGAATTTCTTGGTCTTGGTTGTTTTGAGAGAGAGACAAATGAGGAATTTGTTTTGGATTCCAATACAGTTCAAAACGAACACATTCCATTTCTTAAATCTCATGTTGCAAATTATTTGTGCACGCCAGCAGGCATACCTGAAGATGTTTCTGTTTATGAATTTTTCTTTGGCATCACCAAAACAAAAGAAATCAAATCAAAGAAGAAAAAAGAAACAATTGATTGGTCAACTCCACACCCTGTAAAAAATAATTGAAAATCTCCACATGGGAACAGTGAAAGCTTTGGAGGCATCCACATTGATGGTAACATCAATCATTCAAAAGATACTGATCACAACTTGTTGGCAATGGAAAAATATGCTAGCCTAAAACAGCAATGATTCTACTTTTTAATTTAAGAATACAAAAGAAATCCAGGCAGATTTGAAATATTTATCAAAATTCAGGGAAAATCAAAAAAGTGGGAAATTGAAACTGAATCATCAGAAACTGCTGAAAAATGCTCAACAAGATTGCTACAGCAGTTTCAATTCAGGGAATCAAAAGATGCTCTAGAACAAGTTACACAAAATCCTTTAGTAGTACATGGAGGGAACTGCTGTCAAACTAGTTTGATGAACTTCAGGCAAATCTTGTTGACAATATGGATATGATATATGATCCAGGTCAGATTCAGTTCACAGACAGATTCAATAAGCTGCAAATTGACACTTCCATTGTCACTTATCGTCAAGATTTCCAAACACTGCTGAAAACACCAAAAGTCCCACCATGTTCAAATGCAATTGCACTTCACCAGAACTCAGGTTCAACTTTGTTTTTTCTACAGACAATACACAAAATCTCATCCAAAATATAAAACCTAATGAGCTTCAAAGAAGTGGCTGTTTTGTATCAAATTCTACACAAAACCTTTGATGTTGTTAGACTGATCATGCAAAAGCTATGACAAACTTTGCATTTACTGGAGCCTTGGAAAATATCAGACACTATCATGCAAAGTTGAATTTTTAAAATGACAAAGACCAAGAAAATTTATTTAACCAGATTGTTGCTGCTTTTGTTTCAAAGTTACATAAAATATCTCTACATTCACCTGAACAATAAAGAAAAAGATGTTCCACAAGAAGATTAATTGGTAATGGCCACAACAAATACATTCAAGATCTCAAGACAACAGTGAGCAACAAATAGCAGTTCATTTGTTTTCTATCAGGGGCTGGTGGTACTGGAAAATCAAAAGTACTTAATTATGTTTGACATTATTGTAAGATGTTTTGCAAAGAATTGGGAGTGAACTTTTCTGACAGAACTCTGGCTATCACAGGCATGGCTGGAACAGCAGCAGTTAATATCAATGGGAAACAACACAAAGTAAAGCTTGCTATCTTAATTGTGACAGATCCAATGTTACAGGTAAATGAGACTTGCCTACTCACTGCTGATGAGATATCATTTGCTAGCATCAAACAAATTGAAAAATTGATAAGTATCTGAACTGATTGTATGACAAGCCATCATATAACTGGTATGACAATCTACCAATTGTCTTTGCAGGTGACTTCAATCAACTCAAAACCATGGGAGGAGGAGACTCTAAAAACCAACACATTTCTTGAACTTAAAACAAAGCACACACAGGTTTAAAGATGATCCAATCTGGGGAGAGCTTCTTGATGATTTAAGCATAAATGGCTTGAAAGAAGAGCATGTTCAAATCATCATTTTAGGATTGTAAACCTTGGGACAAACTCCCAGAAGATATTGCTTATGCAACATACAGCAATGCTGACAAATGTGCAATAAATGATGGTATATTTCCTGTTTTTCTCAAAACAACACATTCAAAAAATAAAAACAAGAGATTACCAGATCACACCATTGTAACCAAGGCCTCCTCAAACCTAAAACTGCAGATAGATAAAAAGAAAATACATACACCTGCCAGAATTTCAGAAATACTGTGTGCTAACTGCCACATCAGATGCTGACATTGTTGCAGGTACAAACAAATCTTCCAAAAGGATATATCTAATGCTTAAATTGTATGTTGGTAGACCTGTCATGTTCAATGACAACATGAGCCATGTGTACATGCAAGTCTGTCAAACTGAAAAATGGGTACCAAAATTGTGAAATTATCAACATTGATGGATTTTATGTTCAATGTGGAGATGCCAAGAAAGAAGTTGAATGGATGGAGGTAGTCCTTGAAGAAGGAGACTAAAAAAGGGACCACTTTATCTTCTCAAAACACAGCAGCAACAGTAACATTTTTATGTCTGCAGGAATATGAACCAAGAATTAGTACCAATCAAAATTCAACAAGTCACAAGGGAATACAATTATTTCAATTCCCAATTAATATTTCCAATGCAAGAACTTTTTACAAATTACAGGGAAGATCTTTGGAATAAGTTGGTTTCAACTTGGTCTCACACAAGCAATTGAATTTATGTTGTCTTCTGCTTACAAAAAACAACACCAACAAAAACAATACCTGGCATACACAACAAATTGATAATTTCCATTCCTATTTCAGAAACAACAAACAGCCACAGTGCTCTCAATAAATAGCTTCTTCTTCTACTACACATTCTTGTCAGAGCATAACTTCAACCTTACTGGCACTAGTAACTTAGTTTTTGTTCTGTATAAACTAGTAGTATTTGCATTAGCAACAAGCCAATTGGGTGATTCCCGTAAAC